CAATTTCAGTTTGGGTAGAAAACACTAACAGAAATTTTTTTACCCCATTTCCAGCAAAAAATTGTTAAAAGACATTTTTGAGGAAGTAAACCTTAAATTAGCGTTGTTTTCTATTTTACGTTAATTAATCTGGTGGGTACACCCTCCTATCTACTCCTATCGACCTGGCACTGTAAAAAAGACAATTTTATGAATATAGTTTAAGATATAACTAAAGGTATTTGATAAATTTATTGTCCTTTTTTCTGTACATACGTAAAAGTTCCGACTTTTAAAAAAAAAGTTTTAATCCTTATTATAGAATTAAAAAAAAATAAATTTCAGGAGATAATGCCTTTTTTATTTACCTTTGATGAACATTACTGGGATATATTAGTCATGCAAGCTCAATTGAACCAATTTTAATAATAAAGAAGTGATTCTGCATTTGTGTGAAAAATAACATAACAGATGTATGTGTGCCAAATTTCGTTTATATAGGGTGTATATGTGTTCCATAATTACTGGAATTATCTATACTACTTTTGAATTTCTAGAAACAAGAAAATATGACATAGTTTTAATTAGGGAATCAGATGTCTACAGGGTAATATTGCTTGAGCAAATATCAATCAGTTTTAATAGTACATGTTTATAAAGTGTGCTTTAAATTATACTCTGATGCATGAATTATTTTTGCTCTATCTCTGTACATCAGGATATTTGTGGTATTTATCGGTAAAAATGAGGCAAGTATCACAGGGTAATGATATATGATTATATAAAATTATTCTTCAACCAGTCACGACAAATGTATGTTTTAATCTCTCTCTCTCTCTCTCTCTCTCTCTCTCTCTCTCGAGCTCTCTCAGGATTTCATGAAAAGGTCATTAAATACTGTCCTTTTTTATAGTTCATAATTTAGGACTTTTTTGTTTGAAGCGAATTAAGGAGAGCAAACCATTCTAAGAAGAAAAATTGTTTAAGAGTTTCTATATGACAAATTAGAATTACTTTCACAATTACAAATGAATTAGTTTTTATTTTACACTGTTTTAAAAACAAAAGTTGCCTAGTATTTATAATGTGTGTTTCTCTTGCAATTTTACAGACATTTTCTATATAGTCAGTATTATCAAGTGCAATTAAAAAAGCATGTTTAAGATTTGTTTTTTTCAATTAACAGTGCTTTAAGTGTGATAATTAACTATGGTATTATATGTTTGACCTTTTCCTTATTACATATAGAAATTGATTTATCTGTTATTATCTATAGTGTTAATATTTTATGAATATGATTGTTGTACAACCTATTTTTTTGTGCTGGAGTTTTGATTTAAAGACCTCGCTAAATATAAATGTTAATACTCAATGCAGTCAATTATATGACAAATACATGGGTTATATAAGATATTAATCAATGTCGTAATTTTCAGGAAGGCAATGCTTATAAGAACTTTTGTTTTGTTTGATTTGTTTTTGTTTGATTTTCCTCACTGTTCCCCAGAAACACTGTATTAAAGTTATGTTTCAGATGTTGTATATTTTATTTACAAAGTATCAGGGTTTGTTTCTTTTCTAATGCATCTTAAATAAAGCTTTAATGGGGTACATAACTAGATATTGTTTATTTATTTAATGAAAAATACTAATTAAGCTTGTATGTAAAGACGTTGGTGTATGTGTATTGAAAATGTATGTGTATTGAAAATGTATGTGTAGTAATGTGGGTATACATGTTGAAATTTAAACTAGCTGAACGTATGTGCAGCTTATATAATGAAGATAAACGTCCTGATGTTTTAAAAACTGATGTATGTTTCAAAGATGTATGTGTTCTAACATGATTAAAGGTTTATATAAAGTTAAAATATATGTATAATGAAATTGCATGTGTAATGAAAGTTTTTGTATTGAAAATGTATGTGCATTGAAAATTTGTGTTGAAGATATAATGTGATGTGTGATGCTGATGATTGTGTAGTGATTGAAGGGTTTATATGTAGTGAATTCGAAAATCTTCGTTAATTGAAGATATGTGTAAATTTGCCTTTTATAAAGACACGTATACAGTGAAAATGTATCTTTGTAAAGCCATTTTCCTAGTGGTTACATGTATATGATTGATATACTTATAATAATGTATCTCAAAAGATAAATTTATAGTTTAGATGTATGGGCAATGAAGTTTTGTGTATATATTTAATGATATTAGAATATAGGTGCAGTTCAGATGCACGTTGTATATTTGTATATGAGAAGTGATGATATGTACGTAAATGTATACTAGGTATGTATAATTGTATATGAGCATGATTGAAGAAAGTTTGTGATTGACAAATCAAGTTTGTCTCAAAGGTAAATGTTTGTAATTTAAAAAAAATTAACCACTCCTGTTTTATACATTTAGTCAAAATTTCTAACAAAACCCTTTTGAAATATCTTCTTTAGACAGCAAATGTCATTTTTATTTCACCTTTAAAATAATATTCAAGTTATTCATTTAAGATTTTTTTAACAAGATGGAATACATTGTTAATTACCTCTATAAAATAAATATTGAAACCACAGTTTTGAAAGTCTTTTTATTTTATTTAAGTTTACATATATATATTTCATAGATAAATGATGTAGAACGTGAAAGTGCTCATTTAAAATCAAAATAGTTAAGATATGAACAATTTTTCACTGTGTTAGCACTCATTCGCCAATTATATAAGATTGTTTGAAATAAAATAAATCTGTTAAAATGCCGGTTTGTAAAAGTATTTTTGTAGGGAAAGAAAACAAATTACTTATTATTATATTCAGGGCATGAAATGGGACAAGACTGCTGGAATTTCGAAAACATAAGAATAAAAATGTTAAACATGAATTGTTTGTTAATGTGCAAATTATTATTTTCTGAGAGATTTTGTTTTATCAAATTAACTCTGCAATTAATATAAACATGATGAAGTAGTCATAAAATGAAATCTGTCAATTATCTTGCTTTTTTGGACGAAATCTCTGATCTGATTTATGCAAACAAAGCTTATTGTACAAGGAATGCAGTTTTGTAAATGGTTCTCTTATTCGTTCACCACTTAAAGTCTCACATTCCAAATCAATTACAAAATAATTACAGCAACCGACCTTTATTTGTGACCTTCGTATTTCCGGAAACTACACAATTTCCTTGCTCTAAAACGCAATGACGCTCCTTGGCTGAACAAACTGTGTTAATCAAGTTGAATGATTGTTATCTAAAACTACGAAATCGCACGTGTGAGTTTTTTGTTAATGTTTTTTCCGAACACTTTTATCTGCATTGGGAATTTATCTGCTTTTTAAGCGTTAGAACATCTAAGGCAATTTCAGACTGTTGTTCATGTCAATTTAAAGATCAACTTCATTTGCTGACGTTACATATCTATGCAAGAGTATCTACTTTTAAATTTCTGTGGAGTATTATGGACAAAAATTATACAAATTTAGACGATTTATACGCTTTAAAAGTTCTTCCCACGACTATCCTGTACAACATCGCTGCAACATTCGGTGCCCTTGGGAATATAATTGTGATTCTAGTGTATTGTTTTCGAATTCAACGACAAGTTCATCGGTACTTCATCCCGGTGTTGTCCGCTGTTGATTTCGTAGGATGTATCAACAACGCTGTTTATTTCCATCTTGTCGATTCCCACCATTATGAGTACCCTAGTGACGTACTGTGTCGATTTCTTTCCTTTCTTGTCATTTTCAACAATGGCGTCTCCGGACACATAATCTTTGTGATCGCCCTTCAGCGTTATTTGATGCTGTGTCGACCATTTGCAAAACAGTTGAACGGCACTTGGAGAAGAGCCTCTCTCTTCATTATATGCCTATTATCTTTATTTTACGGCTGTCCTACATTTTATTCAAGTGGCTCTTCACAAGACGTGCTTCTTTACGACAATCGTAATTTTACAACGGAAACTTGCACTTTTGTTGCAAACGTTAAACTGAAGATATTTTTTTTACACGTTTACTTCGGGTTTTTATTAGCAATAATTTTGTTGAATATTCTTATAACAGCAGGACTGTATTTCCCTGTTATAAGGAAAGTTTATCATTCGTTTGAAAGATTAAAAGAGACCACATTTCCTGAATCCAAAACACACGATGCACCATCGGAAAGCAACGTTGAGGATGAACATATTGGTGGATCTAATGTTTCACGGGCGCGTATGAAGCACAATATGAGTTTAACAGTATTGGCCATTATTATCGTTTACATTGTGTCATTTTTGCCCCCTCTGCTTACCCAGGTGCTGGCTATAGAAGAACCCAGACTTACAGACACAGCCACGCATATGAATTTGTATCACTTCTTTCTTAGGTTTTATGTTTTTAATCATATTCTCAATCCCTTTATTTACATTGGCTTTGATATGAAATTTAGAATGGAATTCAAGGCCTGGATATGTTCTATGAAACTTGGAAATTGTAAAGAAAACTGATTAAAATCAATTTAAATGTGAATTTCCTTTGAAGCTGTTTGAAATATTATGTATATACTCAGAACATTAAATACAAATATTACTTTTTATAAATAATTCATATTTTCAGGAAAATGAAGTGTACACCAGTACTGATTAGTATTTGAAATCTCAGTTATCAGGTTTTCAAATTTCATGCAATTCTTTATTGCATGAAAACTCGGTCTCTCTCTCTCTCTCTCTCTCTCTCTCTCTCTCTCTCTCTCTCTCTCTCTCTCTCTCTCTCTCTCAAGAAAAAAACGAACATCTTGGAAAACTGTTAACACACCTCTCTTTGATAAAACTCATTAAGAAGTCGGTGGGTAAACGTCTGCATATTCGAAACCTCAGCCCTCTAAAATTAAAGCAGCTCCTTAAAATTCCTAGAGGCAACCAAGTAGAGAGAACCTGTGATAATTTTTTTCCTCATAAAAATGCGCATGCAGGAAAAATAAAAGCGGTTGTTTTAATAGTATTTACATTGTTGTCAAACATGTTATAAATGTTTATATAAATAAGCAGTACTGGTGTATGGAATGCAGGATACTTTATAATCGTTGAACAAAAAAATAATAATAATTAAGTAGATTTGGATTCTGTTGATTTGTAAGTTCCGTATTTCTTCTCGTCTAGGTTTATTTCTAATTCGTACACAGAAGCTGTGGTCGTTCTAGACATGAACGCTGTTGCACTGAAAAAAATTATTTATTCATTAAAATATACTTTTCTAGTATTATAATTAAAATGGAAAATTAAACAAAATTAAATTATTTTTGTTTTTATTTATTAATTAAAAATTTGAAAAAAATAATGCAATAACCTTGTAGTGGTATTCAAATTAACAAATTTAAAATTCATCCGATTTTAAGCTAAAAAATGTTAAGGGTTCTAAAGATTGATTCGTGATAAGTATTTGGAGGGGATATGCATTCGGAAATACTTACCTCAGTATTACCAATGAAATCAGAGCACACACGAACATGACAAAATACACCGTTCCCTTATAAAAATCCACTGTGTGGGAGTACACTGTGTTAAAGAGGGCATTTCCAGCTAAATTCCCTAGGATTTCCACCGCACTTAATCCTCCAAATAGAGAACCTAGTGGGAAATTTTTTTTAAAATATATTTTGAATGTTGAGTTGTAGAAATTATGTCAAAGAAAACGTCTTGAGGTTTATAATACATTGAAATTGTGATTTTCAACTTTAAAATTAAAATAAAATAATGAAAATTAAATTAATTAAATTAAAAAAAATAAATAAATAAAAACAAACAAACAAACAAAAAAAAACAAAAAAAAAAAAAAAAAAGAAAAACAATCGGTAACATTTCTTTTTCAAAAATTCAAAGTTTGAATGAAATTATTTGGTACTAATTTTCTTTTCATTCTAATTATAATTTAAATAAACATTTATTTATAATTTTCTTGTAAAAATGACCGGAGGTATTCCTTTTGTGATTAAAATATGATTTACATGTTAATCATATTATATACAAGCATTGCTCCACTGATTATTTATTTTCAAAATCACCTTGTTTGTGTTTAGAAGTCATTCTCGACATTATGGCGCGGATCATCGGGAACGGTAGAATTGCACCGAAACCAACTATTGGAGCTGAAATGTAAAACAAAAGAGTTCCTTAAAGGTTTACACTGTGTACTTGAAAAAATATTGAAATTTTTTTTCATTTGCTAAAAACGCCATGAAGAGGGGCTTAATAATAAAGGTGAATGCAAATTAATGGGAAAATTAAAATATATATTTACATGATGTACAATAAATATATAGTTATTGAAAATTTATTGAATTATTTTTCATTCGATTTAAAAGAATTGCCAAACAATAAAAGTAATTAATTCAGGTTTGTACAAGCATAACATAATTTGACAGGATTACTCGTAACGTTTCTTCTATATATGTGCTATATTCCTCAACTAGGAGCATCAGTACAAAACTTAAGAATTTAAAGATCACTCAAGTTGAAATTGAAAGATTGCGAATAAAACATAAAATATATCTAACATAACTTTTAATTTCAAACAAGCAAATTTAAAGAATTGTGGTCCCCCGCTTTCGGTGTCTTTGTGGGTGAGATGTTATTTTTTATGACATATTGTGTCTAATATGAACACCCTATCATATGTCATTTATTTAGAAATTATCATTGAATTTCATTTTAAGAAAAAAAAAATAAGGTCAATTGTGAAGGTCAAGGGGTAAGAAATCATAGCATGTTCGGAATTATCTTGTCACAGGTAATGCACATGTCATATATGAAAGCCCTATCTCTTCTCAATATAAGGAACAAGGTGTGTGTGTGTGAAACACTGATGATGATCATCCCGAATGGCAACATAACGAAGATTAGAACTTTCTTAAATGCAAATTAAATATATTATTACCCAAAGTAGGGTTATTCTCACAAAAAATACGATTGTGAAATACAAAATCCTTAGCACCACCTTTTCAAAAGTTATAGTCGAGGATAAATTTTTGAAAGGTAGGTCAAACTCCAAAGTGAAAGGGTCTGAGTTGTTGGTTTCTTAAGGTAGTCCGATCCTCATGTATATAAAATAAACAGTTAAGTAATCAAAAATATTCATAAAAATATCTCTGAATCCACAAAGTTATGTAAATTTATCCACAGTATTTCTTTAAAGTTAATGATTAAAGTTTATCATGTTATATAAGGAAAATTGTCAAATCAACTATATTTTTGTAGAAAAATCGAACTAGAATATCAGCAATGCGTTTTATAATTGCAAATTGATCAACAAATATATTTTAGGTTAAAAACAACAGGTATCCAGGCATTCAAAGAAATTGTCATGATTTTTATAATTATTGGATATTTTTTGTCTTCTATTTCCTTCGTGTATTCTATAATACATGGTGTAAAAGGATTTTGCTATCATTGCAAGACACAAAAAATCCATTTTTATTTCATATCATGCTAATAAGCATTGGTATCTAATGCTGGATTCAAGAAAATCTTATTTCTTTAAAACTGTATTATTTTTTTTCCATTTATAGGGTACAAATGTCAACTTCTATTAGACCTTTTCTTAGACTTCCGAAAACCTTAAATCGTATCAAGATGAATAAAATGAAAATTGTTGCATGAAAAAAAAATCATATTCAAGCTTCATATTAATGAATTTTAGATTAAATATTAATTTTTGGAGTTATCCTTCCTGGCTGAGGATCAGATATCCTTAAGAAAGGTCTTTTTACAAGTAATACATATGTGAAGGATGAAAACCCTAATCCTAACAGTTTAAAAGTTATGGCCAAGGTTAAAATTTTTTAAAAGTAGGTCAACTCCAAAGTCAAAGACAAAGGGTTGATTAAAGTTCTTGGTATCCAACGAAAGGTCTTCTCAAAAGGATTACATATGTGAAGCACGAAAGCCCTAGCCCTCACCATTCAAAAGTTATGGTCAACGTAAAAGTTTTTTCATCAGTACGTAAATCTCCTAGGTCAAGGTCAAAAGGTCAAAGTTGTTGGTATCCAATGAAAGGTCTTGCCACAAAGAATACAAATGTGAAATGTGAAAATCCTAGTATCTACCGTTTGAAGGTTGTGACCAATGTTAAAGTCTTTAAAAAGAAGTTAAAACTCTAAGGTCAAGGTCAAAGGGTTTAAGTTCTTGGTATCCAATGAAAAGTCTTCTCACAAGAATTACACATGTGAAGTACGAAAGCCCTAGCCCTTACTCTTTAAAAGTTATGGTCAAGGTTAAAGTTTTTTTCATAAGTACGTAAATCTCTAAGGTCAGGTCAAAGGTCAAAGTTGTTGGTATCCAATGAAAGGTCTTCTCACAAGGATTACACAAGTGAAGTACGAAAGCCCTAGCCCTTACTCTTTAAAAGTTATGGTCAAGGTTAAAGTTTTTTCATAAGTACGTAAATCTTTAAGGTCAAGGTCAAAGGTCAAAGTTGTTGGTATCCAATGAAAGGTCTTGCCACAAAAAATACATATGTGAAATATAAAAGTCCTAGTACCTACCATTCAAAAAGTTATGGCCAAAGTGAAAGTTTGGAATTTTTGTGTAAAAGAAGGTCAAACTCCAAGGTCAAGGCCAAAAGGTCAAATTTGGTGGTACTCAAAGAAAGGTCTTGTCACAAGAAATACACATGTGAAATATGAAAGTCATAACTCCACTAAATCAAAAGTTATGGGCAAAGTTAGTTTTTGTGACAGACGGACAGCTAGACAGACGGACAGACGGATGAGATTTAATGTCCCCTCGCGTTCGCGAAAGCGGGGGACAATTATATTGTATGTCATTGTGGTTTACTGTATACAGGGTTATTTTCGCCCCGTCTTATTTTCGCTCTTTTACACGTGCAAACAAATTTGTATTCTTTAAATTCGCCCCGTTTTAAATTCGCCCAAATGAGGGTAGGGCGAAAGGGACGAAAATAAAACAGGGGTGAAATTTTCCCTGTATACAGTATTCATAAAGTTTTTTTTATTAAGCGGTAGAAGGGGATGCTTACTCCCACAAAAAATCATTTAAAAGATAATGCGATATTTTTCAAACTGTACAACAGTTCGACACAATTTATTAAAATTCTAACTCGAATAATGTAAAGGAATGAAATCTGTTGAAATGTCGACTTAATCTTTACATGTTTACTAGTATCAAGAAAAAATAACTTGTGATACTTACAGAGGAAGGTATACATTTTGAATTCAAAAATAGAAAGAAGCAAAGAAGAGGTATACTTACCTATGTACATCATGACGTCATTTCTAGCGAGTGCAGTGATCAAACAGTAGAAAACTGCCGAGGCGGATCCAAGTATCGCAACGCCTTCGTCCTTCATACACCTATGAAAAACCTTGATCATTGCCAAACACAAGATGCTCTGAAGAAAATACTTAATTGTACCGTACCAACCTACTTTTACCGAACCCCAACAGAATGGCTGACTGATCTGGTATAGGGTCAAAATGGAAGTATCGCCGGTCATAGTCAAAGAATAACAGCCAAATATAACCAGGAAACTGACATATTTCCACCGTGTTCCCTCGTCGTTCTTGGAAACATAGAAAGAAAAGGCATTTTTGGTGTCTTTGAAGAGGAAAGATAATTTATTTCTATTTTTATCCTTTCTTCGTTCTTTGGTCTCTGGTAAAATGAATATGACCAAGAGGTTTAAAAGACCAAATATGCAGGAGACAGTCATCATGGGGTAAAAGTATTGCGTAGCCTTGATAAAATATCCGGCGATAACCTTACCGAGTACTACCCCTACCCCTAAACACATTTCAGTCAGGGTAATGAATACCGATCGTTCCTTGTCATCTTTGGTAATGTCTGCAATGTATGTGAAGGAGGCGTGCAGGATAAACAAGAAGCCACCGGTCAAGCCTTCAATGGCGCTCCCGATCAAAAGTAAATAAACATTGGTTTCCAGATAAATACAAGTAGCCATAAGTCCTTTACTCAGCAACTGACCCGTAAAGGCCGTAAGAAAGCTAAATTTTCGACCAAGTTTGTCACTCAGAGTTCCAATAAAAACCGAAGAAAACGCGGCCGGAAGTGAGGTCAGCAGTGACGTATAGATAGAAAATGACGCAGCTTGTTTTTGAATGACTGTACTTTCATGGGATGTTCTCGCTGAATGGTTGGTATCGCAGATTGATCCGGTTGACGACTCCAACTTCCGGTTGGGATAAAGTGTTTTTGAGATGATGTAAGGCGCATATAAGGCAGTGACTGCAAAGGATAATGTAAGTGCGAAACAGTACAAGAGCAGAATAGGTCCGACCATGAAATGAAGTCGCCTACGTCTGACTGCGAGATCTGGTTTCGTATCACAAGAAGAATCTTTCTCTGATTGATCCATCTCGGCCTTTTTTTAGAAGTCTCCAGAGGAATGCTTTAAAATACTGAAATAAGGTTTAATTAAGTTTTAAAATACGTTATACCGAAAGTATCAAAAATAAAAATATGTTTTTGAATCAATGTCTGAGGGGAAAAAATATCTTTCCACATTTGTAATATATTTTTCTTTGCTTAATTTTACTCTATAATATATAGTTTTCCGTTTTTTGATTTTCAATATTTCTCTGCAGGTTTGGGTTTTTACATATACATGTAGTTTTTCTACAACACTCTTTATTCAATTGCTTTTAAATTGGATATCGTACAGTGTCAAATTACTATGTTTCATTCATGATCAAGCGCTTAACAAATATTGGTTTAAACAAATATTCGGGTGGAAGTCGACTGTGTTATTATATTAAGGTTAACTGCATGTTTACAAACGATAGGGTTATATTTATATTTATAAATAAATCAATTGCTAGGTATATATTATGTATTTACCTTACGAAATTCTAGTGTCCGTTTTCCATTGTTTTCTTCCCATTACAAAAAAAATCAACTTAATATGCACACGAAAATTAAATTTTTCTTTAATCGGATGTTTTCATAATACTAGGTAGATAATAAGTAAATATGCTAATATACGCGCACTGTGCTGTACTAAATTGTAACCCAGTACATTCTTTATCTGTTTTAGATACCCTTTAACTATCTTAAATTACATAAGGTCAGTTTTTACACACTAAATTTTCGACGGGGTTTCCGTTATTTCCCGATCATGACAAGGAGCGAACGTTGTAACCTTTCGGCAGGGGATGCTCATTCCTCTATCGCATCTGATCCCACATCTGATGTTTTAGAGGTTTGTTAAAAACGCGTTTATTTCGCTATGTCAAAAAAAGCATCGTGTTTGCTGGTGAAAGATCTGCATGTATTGCTGCGTATATGAATGAACTACTAAGGTAGATCATTTTACTAAGGTCATGATTTACTAAGGTAGATAGATATGCTGCTAAATTCATTGCTTCAGGTCAATCTTTTTTTGTTACTTTAATTCTTAATGTGATTTAAACAATAAAAAGCTTCCTTTGGTTGTTAGTTCGGAAATTAATGTCGGAATGTAGTATGCGCAAAAAGCCAAAATTTATAAAAGCATGCAATATTAATTTGATTTTTTATTTCACTATTATATTAGTGTTTTTGATCCTTTAAACTACACACAAAGCAAATTAATATGTTCTGAATATGTTTACGGTATGGACCCGTCTTCAGCAGTTCGAGTTGCGCGGTAGGTTCAAAATCGTCAGGTTCACATATCTTTTAGATACTTCCACATAAGTTTCAGCTTTTCTGGCCCAGTGATTATTGAAATTTTTTCCTATACACCGATATTTCAATGTAAAACTTGGGATTCCCTATTTTGGACTAGTCCTGTACTCCCGGGGTCATGATTTTAACAATTTAGAATCGACACTACCTCAGGATGCTTCCATATAAGCTTTTCTGGCCCAGTGGTTGTTAAAATTTTTTATACCCAACCCGCTTTTTGTCTTTTCATGATAATTTCCCCTTGTAAGGGGACTAAGCCCTTCATTTTAACAATTTAAACCCCCACGCCACCAAAGGATACTTCGTATTAAGTTTGGTTAAAATTTGGCCAATGGTTCTTGAAAAGTTGAAAATGTGAAAAATTTACATACGGATGGACAACAGGTGAGCTAAAAAGTTATGTCCAAAAATGATGCTACAAATGTCAGGAGTGTAGCACCTTTTTGTGAAAATTTGAAAATTCACTTTTGAAATAAATAAATTTTTAAAATTCGTTTTTTTTAAAGATCTGTGAAATAGATTCAAGTGTGTCCTTTTCTCTCAAGAGAATAACATGATAGTATATATTCAAGAAGAACAATGTAAATACCAATGGTCTGGATTTTTTTTTTAATTTTAATCAGATACAATGCATTTGACTAGGTAAGTAAATCTACACTATAACAGAAAATGTCATGATTATGTAACACAGTGAATGGGTGAGAAAACGGAACACAAAAGTGAAAAAAAGCTACGTAATACCAGATTTATATTTTTGCTTTTGGTAAATAAAAACTCCACTTAACCTCTTCCAATATACTGTAATCGTATTACATTTGGCTGTGTACTCTTTTTAGCGGCGTTGGCGGATTGCAGCAACCGCTAAATCAAGTACATAGCTAAATGTATTGCTCGTACACACATAAATAAGACTATGAAGAAACGCACTAAATCAAATCTACGCTAACTTATTTAAAAGTCAATTTCCGCCAAATATCGTATAGCTAAATATAATACATTTATAGCAATTTACAAATAAGAAACAATATCATGTTACAGCAATTAAGTACAGTAAATCCCGCTTATAGCGAACACACATAAAATGAAATGATACTTCCAGCGAAGTGATCTTCACTCCCTGTTACTTTGAAACATATTGTAAACTTAACGGACATAACGAATTTATCTGCAGAACTGTAGCTCTCTGCTTGAGAAAATTTGAACATATAAGGCAGAGAGCTACAGGTCCAAGCGTTGTGAAAACCTTCGATTTACACCGCCGCTTTTCTTGTCACTCATTTTAAGTATAATTTCTTTTATGTTTTTAAAAATGATATCCGATACTTAACCAAACATTTTACTCCTATCCTTGAAATTATATATACGTTTGGACAGTTTCAAAAAGCTGTTTAACTGTGGTTATGGACGTAGAAATGGGAATCGTATAAACCGACATTCCAAAAACTGTTTCAAACCGTTGAAAAGTAAATAAAGTATCAATAATTGGAGTAAAATATACGATTACTTATCGGAGATCATTCTAAAAGCAAAGGAAAGCTTAAAATTAAAGAAGTAATAACTGAAGTGAGCAACAAAAAAGAAGTGAGGTTAATCGGAGATTTTTACAATGCATTGAGCCGTAGCTCTGTGCTTTATCTATCCAATTATTTTCAAACAGAGAGCTACATTTCTCCAGCTAAATTACGCTTATAACAAAGCAAAACCAACCATATCTGGCACTTCGTTATTCCTGTGAGCATGGTTTACTGTAATATGGCTTTTGACCTTTCTGTGAGACAAGTCAGATATCATTTTGGACATATACATTTAGAGTGTGTTACACAATGAACATTATGTTAAAAAATATGCTCCATGATGTTTAGTATGCTGCATGTACCAATAAGTACAGATGCCTCATCCCATTTCAAGCATTGATTTTTTTTTCTATGAAAAAAGATCATTTCTTGGGCAAGCAAAAACCAACAAAACATATCCTAATTCGTTGATATATTATATGCATAAATTGAGTTGGACCAGAATGGGCTTTGTTTTAAAACCTCTTTTAGGCTACCAAAATCAACTTTTTACTACAAAAGTGCATGCAGTTCACATGTGGAAAAATTTAGTAGATGAGCTTTTTGAAAAGCGATCAATGTAATGGTGTTTATCTTTCATTGTACTTTGATAATAACGGATACTAGTTTGGGATTCTAGAAGGCATACATCATCACCTTCCCCATAGCTTTAAAATATTGTAAACCTGTATATAAATGAAATCAAATTCACTAAAATTGTACTTTTACCGGTATATATGAATTTTGATTGTCAATTTAATACTTCTTATCATTTCTACAAGCTTTTCCTTCCCACCCCAACAAAAAATGGTAAATAATGGATCCACCCAGGATATATAAACAGTCTCATTTCATGTCCTAGTTTCGCAGGTTCTATGGTAGATAGATTGACTTTGCATAAATTTTTCTATCAAAAAAATTTATAAATGATATACCAGTATACATGTATATGATCTAATAAATTATACAATATAAATCTGAGATCTAAATAGAAATTTTCAAATTTTTACTCAAGTTTCAGTAAAATTTGAAGTACCATGACTGAACCTAGTATACTTTAATGCTGGCAAGTCAACAGAAGTGGTGCCGTTCATTACAATATAATGGTTGACGTTCCATCCACAAATGAAGATGAAAAATCAGTGACTGATTTAGCTTAAATGTGCAAAACATTTGTCAGTTAAATATTCATTTTCAAATTGTTGTTTAAATTCTTTTGTTCAAAATTTTACATGTACATGAATTAAACTTTAAGAACATATTTTTTTTCCTCCAACAAGCACATTAAAATCCTAAACAATGAGAGCTGGGCAGCATCTAAAAAATCTCACAGTTAGGAATAATCCTTGAAAACCAATATCATCTACAAGACATATTCCAAAGAAAAATTTGAAAGAATAAATACAGTGAAACTTATCAAATCTGGAAACAAATTGTATCCCAACACATTGTTCAGTTTAGAAAACTTTCAGAATAAGGCAACATTAAAAAAAAAAACCTGCTCTTATTGAAAAGGAGTCAAAGTTTTCATACAGGTAATTCAGAGGATCCAAATTAGACAAGTTTAGTCCAAACACTGTGTAATACTTGCAGGTTTAAAAATATTTGTAATTTATCATCAGATAGGAGTAAAAATGTGTCATGATACATAGTAGCATATCAAATAAATTCAAAAATTAGTGAAATACCATGAAAAGTGTGCTTTACTGTTGCTATCTCGTGAAAATAAGGCGTCATAAAAACATGATGATCTACAGGAGTCAGTGTCTCAAATATTGAGAATAACAAAAAATATTCAAATACTGCTACAACTGTGGCACTTCAAACATGACATGAACTAATGTGGAATCATTTTAATTCGTCAGGGTCATTGTTCGTGGGTAAGCAAAATTTTGGGTACATAATTTTGTAGGTAAGTTATATACTGTAGAAGCACAAATTTTCGTGGGCATAAAATTTCGTTGTTTTGTCATCAAAAATAGTTTCGTGGGCATTTAATTTCGTTGTTTTGAAAGTAAGACTATTCAATATATAGTCATATAAAGTTTCGTGTGGGATTTAATTTCGTTGAATATTGTTAACAATGAAATAAACGAAATTTAATCCCCCACGAATATTTGTGCTTTTACAGTATACAAAAGGTTCAATAAATAATTATGTTTACAAAATAAATGTTTGTGGAGATCTAAATTTGTGGATAAGGGTGACCCACCAACATTGGTCCCCCCACGAACATCGATGATTCCACAGTAATAAAAATGTAAACAGTAAACAAAAATATCCCCAAAAAAGTTTAAACCAAAATAAACAAAAATCGATGTTCTTTGATCATAAGTACTCTTTAACAAAACATAATGAAACAGCTTAGCTTTGCTGTCACTGTTACATAAAAAAATTAATTCTACCTACTGACAAAAATTCAGTGGATTAAAGCTTACAGCTTAACAAATTAACAGTGGACTAACTGTCAAACCAGTATAATTATCCCCATTTAAACTTGGAGGGATTGCACAGTTATTACGAATATCAAGAGTTCTTTAGACTCCTTGTGTACAAAAGCTGCACGTTTGATTTAGGGTTGGACTGGTGCCCATTTAACTGGGTCCCGTCCCCATCACCTGTCTCTTTATTATCCATGAGCACCAGATTAATGTCAGAGTTTCTGGTTACTTCTGAACTGTTCAATGTCTGATCCTGCCAAGGTACAATATAAAATTCATCACTATAAGAATTATCAAAGTCGTACTGATATATTAAGCAGAGTACAATGAAATATAATACAGTGATATTCCTAATATAATTATCTAAGGGAAAATATTTGCACGATTTCTGGCCTATTTCTTTTAGACATTAATATATATTTTGTAATTAAGCATTATTAAATGACTGTTTATATTAATTTTGAAATATGACTTTCAAACCTTTTAAATACTTTTATTCACCTTGTACACTCCAATACTAGTGTACTATTTCTATATAGTGTTGTACTTTGCATGCAATATGCCTAAATAGTAGTCAGGGTTTGAAACATGACACGTTTGAAACTAAGTTTATATATATTATAGTACAATATTATAGAGAACAGCGTCTGTGGTGTAATCGGTAGTGCGTGGAACTGACAATCAAAGAGTCGTGAGTTTGATCCCCGGTGTGGGCATTGTCGTTCCTCAGAAATGGAAGCCGTGCACCATTTCGGCATAGTATGCTTACGCTATATAAATTCTTAGAACACTTCGAAAATAGTTCAGTATTGATTATATAGAGACAAACTGACAGGGAGCATAATAAATGTGTATATAAATTGGCATATTAAAGATACTGTCTTAATAAATGATTTCATAAAGCTGCTAAAATATGAAGCTCTCTTCCTTACTACACATACAGTACATGCATGTTTTCAAAATAATTAGTTCAGTCTTGTCTATCTTTCCAAGACAGTGGTCTAGATATTTTTAAATGAATTATCTCCCCCTACCTCTTCCTGTCTTGTACAACAACCAATCTTCTTCCTCCATGCCTCTGGGAGACAACAACACAGCCAATCACAGACCGGGATTAAGTATTCAGGCTCCACCTCCTCTCTTTTCATTGGACCTGAGAAAAAGTATATAAAACTTACACTGTCAGTAATAGTCTTATTAAAATCAAACCTTCCACTTGTTCATTTATTTTGTGGTCACATGGCCATCATATTAAAGAAGCTACAGTATATTGGAAGATTTGATTTTATTTTTTTTTTTCAGACTGTGTAAGTATTAACAAAGAATGTGCTTCCTCACAGCAGTTTTATAACACATTTTTTAAGGAAGTATCAAAAGATCATTAGATTGCATACACTGTACAATTCATTTATCAGCTCTCATAATACAATTTTTTATTTATGCACAATCAATAAATGTTCATGAAAACAATTGTTAGCAACTACACTAAGTGGATGAGATTTTCTGATAGATTCCTGATACAGGTGAGGATCAGTATCTTCTACACCGATATTTCAAACACAAAGGTATGTCGAAGTGATTTGGAAGTTCCAACCACTTACTCTTTATGAATTATACACTCAATACCTTTCAAAGTTTTTTTTTCTTGGTAACACAAAATTGAAGATGAGAAGTTTGACTGTATATGTACATGATTTGAATATTTTAAAGTTTTTTTCTTGTTCCATTCAAACCCATTGACTGATAGTACATGTACACATTTTAATAATGTCATTATCTTCAAGCTTTTTTTTTGGCCCTATCAAGTTTGAGATAACAAGGTTTGACTGTAAATGGACTCACCTGTCACAACACTGACACCTAGTCCTACAATGACAGCTATAAGTAGTCCCAGGGTGGAATACCACAGGTAGGATAAGGAGTAGAGATCATGTAGAGGTGACCTGTAAAACAAAGAAAAGTAGGTCAGGGAGAAAATAAGTCAGGGAGTAGAGATCATGTAGAGGTGACCTGTAAAACAAAGAAAAAGTGGGTTAGGGAGTAGAGATCATGTAGAGCTGACCTACATAACAAAGAAAAAGTGGGTTAGGGAGTAGCGATCATGTAGAGCTGACCTACATAACAAAGAAAAAGTGGGTCAGGAAGAAAATACATGTAAGTCAGTGAGTAGAGACCATGTAGAGGTGACCTATATAACAGAAAAAGTAGGTCAGGGAGAAAATAAGTCAGTGAGTAGAGACCATGTAGAGGTGACCTATATAATAGAAAAAATAGGTCAGGGAGAAAATAGGTCAGGGAGTAGAGATCATGTAGAGTTGACCTACATAACAAAGAAAAAGTAGGTCAGGGAGTAAAAATCATGTAGAGGTGACCTACATCACAAAGAAAAAGTAGGTCATTGAGTAAAAACCATCTAAAGGTGACCTACATTACAAAGAAAAATAGGCCAGGAAGTAGATATCATGTAAAGGTGACCTATATAACAAAGGCAAATAGTTCAATGGGTAGGTGTAAATGTGACCTATGGTAGTTCAATGAGTAGTGATAGATCATGGAGAATTGAGCTAAATAACACAGAAAAAATAGTTCAATGAGTAGAGATCATGTAAAGGTGAGCTATATGACAATGAAATAAAAAAAAAACAAGGGGATAAGGGAGAAGTGACCTACAAAACACTGAAACAGAAAACAACTTATTTAAAGCCGCTTAGTCAGATTCTAATCTCAAAAAAATATATTCGTATTTCTTCTTGAAAAAATAATTATCTATAAATTGTTTCAACTTTTGTCAAATTATATCCCCAAAGTCTTTTTCTTTTAAAGATATCGAAATTCAAAAGTTAAAAAAGTAATTTTTGTTAGGTCACACAAAAAATAATCCTATGTTGATATCGCGTGAAATCACCTTCGAAAAATTTAATTTATCGCTTATACATGTATCTCATGAAGAACAAACACGAGCATTTTTTTCACAACTAAGTACTTATACCTGTACACGGACAATATTTTAGCCTTCGTTACTAAACTTCCTTTAAAAAAATCTTTAAATATGCATATAAATATAAAAACTTCTATGGATTATGTTTAACTAATTTCTTAATTTTTAAAAGACTTAAGCTTCTACTCATGGAAAAACATACTCGGGTTTGAACTATCTTCATAGTTAGACATAATTGATAAATTAATTTTTTTCAAAGGTGACTTCACAACAAATCTTAACTTCCCGTCAGGAACTTCTGTTTGTCAATAAGGTTTTTGATCTATGTTTTCCTTGTAAGGATTGTTGTAATAAACTATTAAATCAATCTAATAATTTATTTTTATATATTATCTATGTAAGGCCATAATAAAAATATTCCAAGATTCTCATCCCTGCCCGCCCCGATTTTATACCCCCGCCTAGATTTTTTTTTTATTTCTGTTTTTGTTCTTCTTAATTCTGATCGGGATCAGTATTCATCTACCATTCTACTTTCGTTTTAAATCCCGCGAAAGTCGACATGATTTTGACAGCTGAAAAGATGGTAATTGCTGTAATACATGCGTATATATTTTAAACAGGGGTCATTGGTTGAAAAAGATTGGTGATGTTGTGAAGTAAGAGATAATTGAACCTTTACTTTGACTATTATTCCGGTATTGTAGATAAAATTACACTGATTGACCAGGTCAATAGAAAAATGCAAAATTGAAAAAATATAAAATAAAAGCTGCCCGCCCGCCTCGATCTCTAAAAATAATCGGATGAGAATCTAGCAATTTATTTATTATGGCCTAATGACATACTTTTATTGTGTAAGATAATATGTGCCTGTTTCGGATGAAGCGGCTTTAACGAAAAGGCAATGAGATCTGACACATAAACACTGTAATAAATTGAAAAAAAAAAAATCAATTTTATCAGAAAGGCATTTTTTATAAAGCGCATTATTGTTAAAAACATATAATGGAAGAAATATTGTTTTCCAGTCTCTTTAACTTGTCAATCCTTCTGTTTTTATCTTATCTTATTATACTAATTTTGCTTCAAGTTCACTTTGAACGTTTTTTCTGCAGTTAATAAGATGTTTGAATTTTGATGCTTTTTCTGATAGAGAGAAAATGTGAAAAAAGAAAATGGATTTGATTGCTAAACTCACCTGTCTTTGGCAACTTCAGTAGCGTGCGTTGTGATAATAGTAGAAATATTGGTCAGTACCATAGAACCGTTGAAATGAGGGATGGAATAATTGAGAATGTTTAAATTCACTGATGTCATGGGGGTCATTAAGGTCATAGGGGTCGTAAGGTTAAGGTCGGCAGCACAGGTTTCTGTAGGAAAGTCCAGCCTCTCTTTGACTCCTATCACACTGTACTTAGCTATACCTATCCACATCATCACAGCATAGGATACCAGTGGCCCCACCATAGCGCCCTGTCAAAATTATACAAATTATAATTATTCCATTTGTTGGTGATGATGTTGGTGGTGATGTTGATGTTGGTGGTGATGTTGATGTTGGTGGTGAGGTTGATGTTGGTGGTGATGTTGATGTTGGTGGTGAGGTTGATGTTGGTGGTGAGGTTGATGTTGATGGTGAGGTTGGTGTTGATGGTGAGGTTGTTGTTGGTGATGTTGATGTTGGTGGTGATGTTAGTGTTGATGGTGAGGTTGATGTTGCTGGTGATGTTAGTGTTGATGGTGAGGTTGGTGTTTGTGATGGTGATGATATTGGTGAATAAGTAAATGTTGGTGATGAAGTTAGTGTTGATGTTGATGATGGTGTTGGTGATTAAGTTGATGGTGATGTTAGTGGTGATGATGTGAACATCAGGGTTCGACACTAACATTTTTAGGCTTTGGTCCGGCCGGACTAGTGCTTCTTTACTTTTACTAGTCCGTGGGCAATTTTATTAGTCCGTCAAAAATAAAAATAAATAAATAGAATTAATGTTGCAATGTACTTTTTATACATTTTTGAAATAAACAAAGCATTTACATGTAATGTTTATACCAAGAATTCGTTGAAATCGCACAATCAGGAACTACGATCATATTCCCGATCTCATTCGTTTCTCTCTATACATGATTACATCATCTAAACATCCAACATCTTTATTCATGTGACATACTAAATCATGATCACTAAAATGTTTAATTTCATACCAATAAGTCCTAATATTAAGCACCGAATTGACTCAAATTACCTAACTTCCCGCCAAGAAGCTAGAAAGCTAAAAATGAATATTGGTTTTTCAAGTTGTCGAAAATTTGAACATCGGTAAATTTGGTTTTTTTTTCCAAGAAAACTTTATTAGTCCATTCGGACTTATTAGCTATAAATTTTATTAGTCCGAATGAAAATGTATTAGTCTGAGACTAACGGACTAATGTTAATGTCGAACCCTGAACATTGGGTGATGATGATAAAGTTGGTTTTGCTGTTGGTGCTGGTGGTGATGTTGGTGTTGATGTTAATAATGAATCGAAGGTGGTGGTGATGTTGGTTGTGTTGGTGTTGGTGATGATGAAGAAGTTGGTGTTGATGTTTGTGATGTTGGTGATAAGGTTGAAGTTGTTGGTGATGATGTTGATAGTGTATTACATGTATTATCAAAATAAATCGCAAAATATATTTACATATACATTATGTCCCCTCGACATCTCATTTATGAAAGCAGTTCATCACAAAGTAAACATAGTCCCAGTCATAGCCAAGTCTGACACGCTGACGCAGCAGGAATGTAAACAACTAAAGAGGAAGGTCATGTATTTATATAAGAAACTCTGTTTTTTGACTTACTATCCAGTTACATGAAGGAAAAAATGCCCCTAACACCACAAATCCATTCAATGCTCCACTGGCTGCACCCATAAAGCTTAGAGAGATCTACAAGGAAAAGAACTTTTTAATATTCACCATATACTCTAGATGTAATTTTTCTGAGTGGAATTATAATTTCTTCCTTACACATGTATGCAAATCCAATCACAATTCTTCTGCAAAAACTTTCCTCAGCAAACAAAAGATCCATTTAAGCTGAACACAACTCGTAAATAGGCATACGCCATTTTCAATATCATTATCTACAATACATCAACATCAGGGTACTAGTATACTCTCCAAATTCGTTACACCTGACTGCTTTATTGTGAAATGACGACCTGTGTTTGTGCTGGTTATTTTGCATTATATTTGTTTACACTTTATTGCAGTTACATATGTATTTGTGTTTGTATACTGAACTGACCAGTGCAACTGGTGTAAGTGTCTTTGGTATTTTACTTTCCTGCATTTGGAATAAGTACACAATTATTTGATGTCGCTACAGAGCATTGTATAGCATAAGTCTGTGTACACTGGTGACAATTCAATACACTGAAGTGACTATGTGACTGGCTCTATTCATAGGGGCCTGGAGATATAGGATTGAAGAAATATGGCAGAAAATTTCTTTTTCTTTTAAATTTACAAATTGTGTTCAGCTTTAAGTTGATAAACATGATAAAACAATAACCTGTGAAATTCTATACAGGCAGATTGTGATTCCACAGAATTTTGACTAAAGTATGTAAACAAATTTTGTTTCATCATTATGCTCTACAATTCTGCACATTACATCATTAAGGAATAATAATTGGTTCTGTCTGTTAGAATTTTAACAATAAAATAAAAGACAACTACTTTACTTTTAAGGTAGGATTCTTCTCACATTTCTTGTATTTAAAAATTAATGAAATTTTCACAGAATCAAGAGGACAATATCACTAAGTGATGGTATCAGTGAGATTAAATTTGACCGTTTAATATTAGAGGCAAGGTCAGGTCAAGGTCATTACCTTTTTCCTGGACATTAATAATAAAAAATTACTGTTTCCAATCATGTGATCCCTACTTGTTATTCAAAAGATTGAATTTTTTTCTTTTTGCATAAAAAAATACTACCATATATGGCCTTTAAGATGATACTACCAAATTGACATGGATATTTTAAATAAAATGGATATTTGCTAATCCGAATTTCCTCTACTTTTCTTAAATTTTTAGGATTTATTAGTTATTTTTATATGCTTCCAATATTTAACTTTTTCCAATATTCACATATAGTAAAGTTGTTACATAAAGGTAAAAAATGTTACAAAAATTAAAAGTTTTGATCATTTACTAAGAGAGAAATAACACTTTTTACGGATTTTTGGCTCAAATTTGTACTTAGAGTTGAAGCATTTAAAAGCCAACACAGTTCTTGTATGTGTGAAAAATCTTATTTATTTGATATATTTTGAAACTTTAGTTCCTTATTATTAATTTAACTTACATTTGAAAATTTCGTCTAGTCTTTGATTGCGTAAAAATTACAATTAAATTCAATGTTCTATAATAATTTTGAGAGGCACATAAGAAGATATTTTCCTATGCCACCATTCTGCCAAAAATATAGTCCCTGCTAGTTTTCAAATGCAGTTTACCATTTCTATTTAAAGTTGTATAATTTTGATGAGGAAAGAAAAAAATGGACTTTTAAATCGCTTATATCTAAATATATAAGACATATCAACAAATGTACTTTGAATATTCCATCTAGTCAGAAACCAGAGAAGAATCCTACCTTAAGAACCATGTTGTGTTTCATAAAATTCATATTTTCAAGGGTAATAAATTCAATCTAAATGGTGGTCTTGTTTCTCAAATACATGTATTTTAAATGCCTTCACATTTTTTTCTACAGAAATATATAACTTAATTTTTATGCCTTTAGAATTTGTTGCTTTTTTTTGTTTCATGTGATCTGAATGAAGATCCAATTGAATGAAACAGAAATTCAGATATGGCAATTCAACTTTATTTGGTCTCGGGAAAAAAAAATATGTCTTGACAATCTTAATCTCACAACTTGGTTACCTGGTTGTATTTGTTGATGACTTTTATTTGCTTACCTGTAAAACTGTTCCTCCTAGCTTCCTGACAATAAATGAAACTCCTAACCCAAGAATCCCAAACAAAATCACTGAAAAATAAACAATATTCTACTTGATTCAATAAATGACAATTCACCATATATAATAAGTTGATAGTAAAAATCAGTCATTAAAATTAGATGTTCCAAATTTGCCACCTATTCTCAACAACATCCAACTGGGGGTCATATCATTTCAATTGTGAATAAACATGAAAATTTTGTCAAATCAGCTTCAATCAAGCTTCAGTTAACCATTTTTAAATTAGTTCCATCTCATCTCAACATTATTGCTGTTAAGTAGCCTGTCTTATGTTGAGGTCATCAAAAGGTCACTCTGATGTCACCTCGAATGGTATGTTGCAGATTCGAAACATGTAATTTTGATTCGAATGTAGAAAAAAATAAACAGGAAAATAAAAACAAACATCCTTCAGAATCATACATGTACAATATAAGGAATTACCTAACATTCGGGTTATCCACGCGTGGACGACCTCAGATTTATTTTTAACGTGAGGTTTTATGATGTCCTCCCATGATGTGGCTACTTGTGAACTTAGATTGGATGAAACAGAACTGCAAGAGAGAGGAAATCTTTTTCAAATTGATAAACAAATACAAATAAAAATCATTATCTACAAGTCTATTCTAGCAATAAGTCCCCTGATTTCACAAAAAAAAAATAATTCAACTGAATCCTTAATAAACAAGAGGCCCAGGGGCCACATCGCTCACCTGAGCAATTGGCTAGGAAAAAGCACATTTCAGATCAGAACTGAATGTTAACTGAGGGGGGGGGGGGAGGGAGGAGGGGGCTTGAATTTTAACCTCCCCAGGGGGTCATGATTTGAACAAACTAGAATCTACACTACCTGAGGATGATTCCCTATAAATATCACTAACCATGGCTTTGAAGAACTTGAAAAGAAGATTTTAAAAGGTTTCCCTATTTATTCCTAGCATGTAAAACTTTTATCGGTCATTTGGCCCCACTCTACCCCTGGGGGTCATGATTTGAACAAACTAAAATCTACACTACCTGAGGATGATTCTCTATGAATATCACTAAGCATGGCTTTGAAGAACTTGAAAAGAAGATTTTAAAAGGTTTCCCTATATATTCCTATGTAAAACGTTTATCGGCCATTTGGCCCCACCCTACCCCCGGGGGTCATGATTTGAACAAACTTGAATCTACACTACCTTAGGATGATTCTACAGGAGTTTCATCTTTCCTGTCTCAATGGTTCTTGAGAAGAAGACTTTTCCTATTCCTATGTAAAACTTTGATCAGCCATTGTGGCCCCACCCTACCCCAGGGGGTCATGATTTCAACAAATTTGAATCTACATTACCTGAGGATGATTCCATATGAGTTTCATCTTTCCTGGCCAAGCGATTTTTGAAAAGAAGATTTTTAAAGATTTTTCCTATATATTCCTATGTAAAACTTTGATCGACCATTTTGGCCCCACCCTACCCCCGGGGGTCATGATTTGAACAAATTTGAATCTACAATACGTGAGGATGATTCCACATGAGTTTCATCTTTCCTGGCCCAGTGGTTCTTGAGAACAAGATTTTTAAAGATTTTTCCCATATATTCCTATGTTAAACTTTGATCGGCCATTTTGGCCCCACCCTACCCCCGGGAATCATGATTTGAAGAAAATTGAATCTACACTACCTGAGGATGATTCCACTTGAGTTTCGTCTTTCCTGGCCCATTGGTTCTTGAGAAGAAGATTTTTTAAAAATGCCATTAATTTTTCGCTAATTCATAATTATCTCCCCTTGGAAAAGGGTGTGGCCCTTCATTTGAACAAAATTGAATCCCCTTTACCCAAGGATACTTTGTAGCAAGTTTGGTTGAAATTGGCCCAGTGGTTCTTGAGAAGAAGATGAAAATAAGAAAAGTTTACGACGACGACAACGACGACAGACGACGGACAAATTTTGATCAGAAAAGCTCACTTGAGCCTTCGGCTCAGGTGAGCTAAAAAGGGAGGGGGATATGAATCATTTTCCTCTAATTCTTACTTTTTATATTACTCCTTCCCCTTTTCTTCAAGGAATATAATAATTACACAAATCAGTTGGAGAGAAAAATTGTGTTAAGTTTCTTCTGTTTTAAATACGTATACATTTACTGTTGATGCTACAGTGCACGAACTATCCCCACATCCCATCTCACAACCCCCCTCACACACACACTACTTACCCCCCGCCCCTCCCCCCCTCTTCCCCCTTCCCTGAGAATAGTACAAACAGGAAAGATAAGAGCAAAAAAACTTTTCTGAAACTTTATCTTTGATTTTTTTTAAAAAGTAAATTTATCAATGAATCTAACCTTAATGCCCCACTAAAGAGACCAGCTATGAATAAACCAGGTACTCCTGGAACATGTAGCATTTGAATCACGAACAATGGAATGATCTGAAGTGCAAAGAAAAACAATAACAGAAATATTAATAAAGAACACATTTTATATCTCATGCATGTGTGCTGAAAAATCTTGAAAATCCTGTCCAAAGTTATTCATTAAATTAATACAGAGCTGCCAACATTCGGAAATGAAAAATAGTAAGGCATGGTCTAGGGACCGCCTAGGCCCCCTGCCTCTGAAGATGTTTTGTAAATGGATGTGCAATCAGAGCAATTTAAGGCATGTTTCCATTTTGTTTACTTTCCAATATTGACATGAATGCAATCAGCCATCTAAAACCGAAACGATGATGCAAGTACGCATTGTAAGGATTATGAATATTTAATTATAGAAGTAGAAACTGCATGTAGACGGGCAGTTATGAAATTCCGATATTTTAAACTCTGCGAAATATGAAGCATATAGAGAGAAATCATAAGGTGTATTTTGGACACTAATTTCGGAAGACTTACGCCAAAATCGTAAGGGTTGGCAGTTCTGTTAATATAGATCACCAAAATTAGTAAACACCTGATTTTTGCAAGATAGGTAATAGGCAGTATGAGATTAGCTTCATTACTAATTGTGAACAAATAATATATTATTTTTTAAGATATCAAGTATTTATCAATTGAAAATAAATGAGTCTTTTAAATGATATGACAATTTAGAAAGTAAAATCAACAAGAGGCCCATGGGCCTAATAGGTCACCTGAGCATTATGCAACAACTTTCCTGCAGTGATTGAATCTGATCCATGTTTTAAGCCAGATGCTATTATAATAGCATTTACAATTTTGATCATCATAACTATACACTTAGCAGTTGCTTAGTTTGGTTACTTGATACCCATAGGCAGGGTAAGGGAACAAAAAATGCATTTCAACAAATCAGTAATATTCAGCAATAATCAGTAGTGACTCTACCACACATGAACCCTTGAATCTTGCACAATTTTTAAAAAGGCATCCTTGCTTTTCAAAAATATTTGATTAATACCAAGGAGCAGATTTCAAACAATTCATTCATTTTCAGTATATAAGTACAGCCCCCCCCCTATGGTACTGCTGACCCTGGGGCCATGAAATTCACAATTCTTGAAGATAAGGGCCTTTGCTCATAACTATATAGGTAGTTCATCTGCTTAATACACAGCACAAGAAGAAAAATTCAAAGATTTAATGTTTTTTCACTATACATGTGTAATCAATAGAGCCCCGCCCTAGCACCAGAACCCCTGACCCTTGGGCCATAAAATTCACAATTTGGTAGAGGTACTCTTGCTCATCATAACTATGTTCTTAGTTAGTTTATTTAAAACATAGGAGCAGAGAAGAAGATTTTCAAAGAATTCATGTATTTTCACTATATAATCAATAGAGCCCCGCCCTAACACCAGAACCCCTGACCCTAGGGCCATAAAATTCACAATTTTTTGGTAGAGGCACTATTGCTCATCATAACTATGTACTTAGGTAGTTTATTTAACACACAGGAGCAGAGAAGAAGATTTTCAAAGAATTCATGTATTTTCACTATATAATCAATAGAGCCCCGCCCTAACACCAGAACCCCTGATCCTGGGGCCATAAAATTCACAATTTTGGTAGAGGTACTCTTGCTCATCATAACTATGTTCTTAGTTAGTTTATTTAAAACATAGGAGCAGAGAAGAAGATTTTCAAAGAATTCATGTATTTTCACTATATAATCAATAGAGCCCCGCCCTAACACTAGAAACCCTGACCCTGGGGCCCTAAAATTCACAATTTTGGTAGAGGCACTATTGCTCATCATAACTATGTACTTAGTTAGTTTATTTAACACACAGGAGCAGAGAAGAAGATTTTCAAAGAATTCATGTATTTTCACTATATAATCAATAGAGCCCCGCCCTAACACCAGAACCCCTGACCCTGGGGCCATAAAATTCACAATTTTGGTAGAGGTACTCTTGCTCATCATTACTATGTTCTTAGTTAGTTTATTTAAAACATAGGAGCAGAGAAGAAATTTTCAAAGAACTAATGCATTCTCACTTATAATATAATCAATAGAGCCCCGCCCTAACACTAGAAACCCTGGCCCTGGGGCCCTAAAATTCACAATTTTGGTAGAGGCACTATTGCTCATCATAACTATGTACTTAGTTAGTTTATTTAACACACAGGAGCAGAGAAGAAGATTTTCAAAGAATTCATGTATTTTCACTATATAATCAATAGAGCCCCGCCCTAACACCAGAACCCCTGATCCTGGGGCCATAAAATTCACAATTTTGGTAGAGGTACTCTTGCTCATCATAACTATGTTCTTAGTTAGTTTATTTAAAACATAGGAGCAGAGAAGAAGATTTTCAAAGAATTCATGTATTTTCACTATATAATCAATAGAGCCCCGCCCTAACACTAGAAACCCTGACCCTGGGGCCCTAAAACTCGCAATTTTGGTAAAGGCACTATTGCTCATTATAACTATGTACTTAGTTAGTTTATTTATTACACAGGAGCAGAGAAGAAGATTTTCAAAGAAATAATGCTTTTTCACTATATACTTATTTAGCCCCGCCCTAGCACAAGAACCCCTGACCCCAGGGCCATGAATTTCACAATTTTGGTAGAGGACTCAATGCTAATTACAATCATTTAAACAGTTTGACTGTTTGATGTCCAGGAGTAAAGAAGAAGATTTTTAAAGATTGCATTAATTTTACTGATTTTGGCCCCACCCCCCAGGCCCCAGGGGGGCAGGGATCATGAAATTCACAATTTTTGTTCCCCCTCACCCATAGATGCTTTGTGCCAAATTTGATTGAAATTGGTTCAGTGGTTGCAGAGAAGAAGCTGAAAATGTTCAAAAGTTTACGACCGATTGACGACGAACGACGTACGACGACGGACGAAAACAGATAGCAATAGGTCACCTGAGTGACTCAGGTGACCTAATAAATATATTAAAATAAGTATGAAAAGTGTAATGGGAGCCATTTCACTGATGATAGAACTAAGTAACACTGCATGAAAATTTTAAACAAAATCAAGATCAAGATATTTCTTACTTGATAATAACACTGAATTTTGCCCCACCTGATTTGAGCTTTTGATTTCTTTATTGGTATAAGGATCACATCCTTTCATTGCGTAGAAAGCAAACACGGAAATCCCAGCCAAACAGGCTGTTGTCACCATTACGAAAAGTCCAACACAGTTCAGCAAGACAGCGCTACAAAAAAATTTGTCATTGTATGATTCCAAAAGTCTGCAGAGAATCAAGAATGTAGTCATATTTATAGTGCTTAGACTTAAAAATCTAAAAACCTGATTGGAGTCAAGAAAAACTTTCTAGATATCTGAGGATTTAAAATCTTAATGTTAGAATACTGAAAGTAAGACTGGTTGAAATATCCAAATCACTTTGATGTATACAGGCAAAATGTCTTATCTTAAACTCAAATTGGACCAAGAAAAAATCCCAGCAATACCTGATATTTCAAGATATCAAGGTTTGAAAGACTTCCACTTCACTTCAACATATGTATGAATTTTGATGCATTGGTGTTAGAGATACCTGTAAACTGTATGATTGGGGTATTTATCTACCCATATTTGAGATACAAAAGTTCAATTCAACTGTACATTCCAGCCAACTGAGGTACTCAACTTACACTTTTGCTTTCCCAAGCGTGGCCAAGACAGCTAGATGAGAGACTGTTTTTCTCCTCCTCAGTAAGGGCTAGCTTGCTTAATGAGGCACCCTTTACTTACATTTGCCCCTCCCCTCCCCTTTGGTGAGGCCTAGCCCACTAAATGAGGGACCCTATACATACATTTTTGCCTCCTTCAGAGAGCCTAGGGCACTAAATCTCTGTATGCTCTGCTGACTAGCTCCAAAGGTCCCCACCCAGTTAATCATTCCTCCGATGGTTAATGCCCAGAATGTGTGCCGAACTGTTGGATCAAAATCAAAACTGTAAAAAGGAAAATCATCAACTTTAAGTTCAGTAAAACAATCATGCTGTAATTAGTGTTTAAGTTTCAGTAACGCCAATGCAAAGAGAGATAACTCTAGCTGAGAAAAGTAACTTTTCTAAAGTAAATTCCATCTTTTACTGATGTGGAATTGTTTACAGACAGATTGACAAAAAACCATTATTAAATAATGTTTATAACCTTCTAGTCTCTAACAAATTGAGCTTTTGAAAAAATAACACACTTTAAAACAAAGAAGATCGGGGGATAAGGCAGGCATAGTGCCTATAGTGCAACAGATAAAAAGTGAAAAATTAAATCTCAATTATATCTAAATTCTATTTGATATTTTACCTAATAATAAGGTATATTTAATGTAAAATCTCTACAATTCACAAAAATCTCACAAAGGCTGAAGATATTTGCCTATGAAAAAGCATACACACTCTAAAAAGAACAAAAATGATCATTTTCTCATACTTAAACAAAATTTTTCAATATGAGTGGGTCTTCGCTCCATTATTTTGAAAGATAATCTTAAAAGTTTGCAATAGAATGTACAATTTTTGGTTTACAAAAACATGGAGCGAAGGCCCACTATACCTTAAAAGTACACTTTTATGACAAAACATTCGCATCTTTCCGAGAAGTACTTTAAGTGCATTAAGTCAAGGGTCATATCACAAACATGATTTAAATGCCCAAAATCATTATGAGCAATGTAGCATAGTGGTTAGCGCGTTAGTCTCAATTTCAGAGCAGTATGATTCATCGGATTTTTATTGCTAGGGTTCAAATCCCAAGAATACCATCTAATATTTTTATAAAAGAAAATTTTTAACGAGATCTTTTTTTCTCTCAGAAAAGGTATTTTTCTAATAATATCATAAATTTCAATAATGAGAAGTTAATTTAAATACTCAATTCACATACTGAATATGATTTCTTAATATCTGACGCTATAGGCATTCTGCCCGCCTTGTTCCCCCATCTTCTTCAAGATTTAATGCTATTTACAGGATAAGTCTCATTATAAGCTAATGCTTTGAACAAATATGATTTATTATACATCATTAAGCATTTCTTACCAAAATGACATTAATAAATACACAGTGCAAAGCAATTCTTGCCAGTGATCATCCATGAGTTAAACTTACTTCCAGAAGTTGATCCGTCCCCACTGATCATTCAATTCCCACACCTTTGAAAATCCTCCTACTTCTAAAGTAGCCTAAAAATAAGTCACAAGTATAAAAAGAAATGTGGCATTAAGACACCAATTACACTTATATTTTTTAAATTCATAATTTTGTTTTAGAGTGATTTACTGTTGAAATCTAAAATAAATTTTCCATCATATTTGCTACCATCAGATTCTAAACATCGCCCATTAAGGCATAAATAAATATCACTTAGCATGCATTTTTACCATTCTGAAAGATATTGCAAGTGGGTGAGTTTTGATAGATAAAAGCGCATAAACTTAATTCATATTTTCACCATACCTTTATGACAATAGTTAACAGAGTACCAAACATGATGATGGACTGGAATGCATCCACCCATACCACAGCTTTTAGACCACCCTGTAATTTTCAAGCAAGTGTATATAAGCACTTTGATATAACACTTTTAATCCACCCTCTACATGGCAACAAAACCACAGCTATTCAAGATTTAATAAAAATGTCAACACTATAGAAATGAGCATTATGATTAACATAAGTTATAAATATAACTGTTTAACTTAGCAGGAAAAAACAGAAATGAACAGAACCCTGTTTGGAACTTACCATAAAAGTGTAAAATGTACAAACAAAACCTATCAGAAGAAATGAGGCCCATTCAGGAAAACCAGTCACTGAAAAGAAAAATGAAATATTCTGAAAAAATTCAATCATAGCAATATACAAGAAAGATACTTTGCCTATGGCTGGAACTCTATTTTAACAGTACAATTTCTATATACAGAATTTTTCTAGTACACTGACCTGCATATAAGGCTGTAGCTGGAGCAAATGATGCAATTCCTGTATATATCAGCTGAAATAGATTCTTTGATGGTGAATAATAAGAAAAGCTTACTGGGCAGAGTTGTAAACATTTTAACACAGTTATGTAATACATCAGACTCTCTAGTTCCATGCAAAGTGTACATATGCATGTTTCATAGGTATGGTGAACATGTGCTGGCATGTTTGTTAAGTAAGCATATAATTAAAATTTAACTTTTGATGAACATAAGTTAAAACACTGTTGCTCATTTATATGCAAAACATTTTCTTTTAATTTCATAAATAATAATACACTCAGAAGGTACAGTTAAACACCTTACAGTAAAGTGCCATGAAAAATCCATTTGACTTTTATCATAATCATAATTAATAACATGCATGATTTGTTCAATTTCCCATACCCTTTAAAACCAGGGGGAAAGAAAGTCAGTTTGCAATAAGTGTGAATTCATTAAAGCAGGTTCATTATCAGTCAGGGGCATGGTGGAATCAAGTTATTTGTTAAAATAACTTGTTTAGGTTACTTCACTTATTTATTACTAAACAAAAATGTAACTCAAATGAGTTTACTTAATGCTTAAAAAATAGAATGCCCATCAGTTTTGCCAAATTAAAACATTAATATTTTGAGTTTGGTGATGATTTAAGACAATTTAAGGCTAAGAAAACTATGAATATATGTACTTCTTTTACCGGTAATAGACTCAACAAACTTAATATCTCATGAGCAGATATGATGATATTTAGAAAATAACATTGATATTTTTGAAGGAAAATAATTCCATTTCATTAACATTTCAGACTTCAATTACACATCTTCCGCCAATTTTGTCAACATTGAGACTAATTTTCCTAAAATCTTTGGATATTACTGTACAATCTCTATGTTTTACATTTTTTGTGCAAAGCTGTAGATTTTTGTGCAAGAGTTTTAAAGTGAGATGGGTTAAGGATGAAATAATGGAAATAAGTCATAATTTGTTGGATTTCAATGTGTTAAATCTAAAAGATAGATTACTTTTACTGTCATGAACGTTTTCTTAATAACCCAAGCACAGCATGAATAAAGCTATTCAGATGCCAGTAGGTTTACAATAATGAGTAGTAAAGTATCAATAACAGGAATAAGTTACTGAAGAAAAGCATAATCAGGGAAAGATAACCCAAAATGTTGAAATTTAATAACTGAAACAAATTATTTCAAAAATAACTTGTTTCCATGATGCCCTTGACTGATCATAAGTGAATTCTTTTAGTATGAAGTTAATATATGAATTTTAGTATAAATCATTATATGAATTATTGACACAAGCTCTCCCAAAAGATTCAGTCTATCCAGGTTTTACAGTACATGCATTACTATTAAACTGAAGCCTTTATACTCACAGAGGCAAATATATTGATGACAGTGGCTGTCAGTCTAGCTGCCCGGGACTTGAATCTTAGTTCTATATACTACACAGAAAAACAAAACAAATGTCAGTGAAAAATTTTTTTCAAGATTTTACTTGAAAATTTTTTTTTGTTTTCATTTATACGTAAATTCTCTCAGCATCTATAACTTATCATTAATAGACTGTTAAAATGATTGATTTAAACATGGCACCCCTAGTACACTAATGAAAGTAATGTTCAATATATTCAAGATTGCTAAAATTGATTGAGTGATTTGAATGACTGAGAATGGGATCATAGATTTTAATGTTTGATGGTAAATTCTTTAAAAAAGTAATGTTTAGGGTGTTAGATATAAACATGAAAATTTCAAAGGATATATAATATATACAATTGTAGTAAACTTTTCGTGTCTTCATATATTACTGCAATAAGTTTATACTTCATTTTTGGGGGTTGAGGGAGGGGGGATACAAATGCAAACATCTTTCTCAATAAAATATTTCAAAATACCTGATACATGCTCGTCAATTTCAGTGGATAGAAAAGTGGTACAAACAAAACAGCTGCCAGTGCTGCAGCCGTCATTTGTCCGAATACGTATAAATAATACTGCGTTCCTTTGGTGTACATTTCTGCAGGTGCCCCAAGAATCAAAATGGCTGACAGGAATGAAACCAAAATAGATACGGCCACAGGAACTATTTTCAAGTTGCGGTTGGCCATCAGGAACTCCTTGGTGGTCTTCTGCTTCCCTCCCGCCAGGGCATAGTAAACCCCGATGCATGCCGAAATGATGAGGAGCCCTGAGAAGACTGCCCAGTCGACCCCTGTGAAGTTATTTTTAGGAAGTCCTGACATGTTTGTTTTTTCTTTCAAGGAGGTTCTAATGTCAGCAACATTTTTCAGATAATATTACAGACCTATTTAAAAGAAGGAAAAGGCAGATTGAAAACCATGGAGAAACAGCAGACTTTTGTGCATAACTAATTAACACTTTTTCCAATAGTTGGCTGAATGACACTCACCTCACCTGTCACAAGTGTCAGTCAATATTTTTTTTTTGTAGCTGCAAAACTGCATAATTTAAAGCTCTCGATCTGCTTGAGAAAGTTGGGACAGAGACAAAAACAAACATTGACGACATAAATCATTGCTTGGATCAGTTGCTCTCTGCTTTAACTGTCCGAATTTTCTAATAACTGAAGTGAGCTACAATCCTGCAGCTAAGCCTATACGGCTATACTAGCCTTTAGAACAGGTCCAGCACGATCTCTTGATTAAGCTATATAGCTTGATTTAGCTATATAGCTTTATTAAGCTATTCAGAATAGCTTGATTAAGCTATTTTCTCAGACTTTTTTCTCAAATGTGTTATTTTTTCAACATGTGCTATAAGTCGCACCTTGGTGCAGTGGAAATATTAGACTTTGTACTCTTCTGAATACAATGCATGTAAAAATCACTCACCAAATTGCGTCTCCTTGAGAGACTTTGTACTCTCAGTTTTTAAAGTTTTGGGGCTATTGATGAGTGACCACACAGTTATTTCTTGAATGAAATTATAAAGGAGGCCAGTCATGGCCAACAGGATAATTGATTAGTAACAGTTCAGCACAATGAGAAGCAATCATACTTACCCAAGCCTCACCGGACACACAGTTACTCAAACAATGGAAATTCATATTTTGCTTAAAAGTATTCAACAGCAGCAATGTTAGTACTTTTTATGATTTAGGCTGTAGTTTTGATAGTCTATAGAACATATCTGAATAGTCAAATATTTGCGACTTTTTGTTTATTTCTTAAAAAAAAACGTTTTTGTGAAAAATTGCATATCAAGCTATTTTGAATAGCTTGATAAAGCTATATAGCTTTTTAAAGCTATATAGCTTAATCAAGAGATTGTGCTGGACCTGTAGAAAGCTCCATCATATTGAAGTTGAGCTAAACCATAGGTGCAAAGAAAAGTACCTTATCTTTAAATTTCTTAAAAAGTTTTCATTTTATTGATTTTTTATTCACTTAAATATACACCTTTACAAAGTTAACACACAACATTCCTTTTTTAGCATAAATAGCAGTGCAGTCAAGGTCTACTCGTAAGCACGTGGATGTCTTATGCAATGTTTGTTTAAAATAAATAACATCATTCACTCCTCATTATCGTTCAAAATCTTTATCGCATATTCAGTTTTGTGTAAATCTTAACTTCTCTTTTATTCATTTCATTAGCTCAAAGACAAAAATCATCGTTTGCGTCGAAACTCACCTGTTCTGTGATTTGGTTTGATTCCCGATGCCTCCCAAATGTGTTTTCGGAATATCTCGGGGGTCTATGTAAATTGCAAGTATATTCGGAAGGCCTCGGTTGCTACCATAAAAGAAGAGGGTGTGCGAGAAACTGAAAGTAGGACAGCCACACATACCTATTTTGTGAATACACTCTAAATTTGATGGCATTATTACTCAGGTCTGTAATTAATGTGAAGGGAAACTAGTTTAACTACGCCTTTACTAGAATTCGACATTCCACACGTTTCTTTGAGCGTAATTACGTATCATCGACACACAGCATTAAAACAAACAGACAAAATCAAACAAGAAATTTTGAAGAAAGTTTATTTCACTACATACATGTAGAAAGTCACAGTTTTAAACTCGATTTAATAGAAGCTCGTGGGTGCTTTGGTATCGATTGAAAACCAGTTCCTGGCTTTTAGTTCATCAAATCAAAATTAAGGAGACTTTCTTCTGTTTACATGTACAGTGGAGCCTCATTTATCCAGACGCTTTGGTTCCGAGTCAGTTTGTCTGGATATGTGAAGCGTCCGGATATCTGAATTACCAGTTAAACAAGACAAAATTACATTTAAAAATTCTGTTCCGATGAAAAGTTGTCCAAATCCTGAAGCATCAGGATATCTGGCATCCAGATATCTGAGGGTCCACTGTATCACAATTTTTGCAAAAAAAATGCTAACACACATTTTTATTGGCATATTTATGTTCCCTTCAAAGAAGGGAACGCATATTGCTAAATTGTAGCTGTCTGTTGGTTTGTCGGTCCACTTATATATATAATATGTTTTCATTCATTTTCTTTGCAGTCGTTGCACATACTGAAATGAAATTTGGTACATGTACGTATACAGATATATCATAAGAGTGACAAATATCTAGGTCAATAAGTTCTGTTTCAGGTATGATCAGGCCATTTCGGACAGAGTTATGCCCCTTGGACTTTTAGAAAAATTTCAATTATTTGCTGTTTTCAATCATTTTCCTTGCAGAGGTAGCAAATATTAAATGAAATTTCATAGTAACAGATTTATCATAATAATATCTAGGTCAAGTTCTGTTTTGGGTACAATTGAGCCATTTTTGACAGAGTTAATTTATGCCCTTTGGACTTAGAAAAATTCCAGTTATTTGCAGTTCCTTTTCATTTTCTCTGTAGTGGTTGCACATACTGAAATGAAATTTGAAATAAAGATTTCTCATATGAATATCTAGGTAAGGTTTTGTTTCGGGTAAGATCGAGTCATTTTTGACAGAGTTATGCCCCTTGGACTTCAATTATTTGGGGGAGGGGGCATAAGTGTTTTAGAAAGCTCTTGTTTAGCTCAGTTTCTCCCAGTGTTTGGCTAGGACTTCAGTGTAATCAATTTTTATGACATGGGCATCTGTTAGATGTTCTTTTAATCTTTCAATCATTGAATCATTTTATTAAAAAAAATTATGACTTTTTTTGGTCAAAACGAGAAATTTGAATCCAAATTTGAGGTACAAAATTTTCACATCACCCTTCAGGCTTGGGAAATTTGTACTCCTCAAGTATAGATTTTATCATTATGATATTGAACTCCAAAGCAGTTGAACTTCAGTGTTTCATACATGGATATACTGACTGCATGTATATTGCAAATACTGAAAGTCCCATTCTCTGTTTAGCTCACATATGCTGAATGCTCTCGTGATCTTTTCTGATCACCTATCATCCATCCATCCATCTGTTGATCGTCCATCTGTATTTTCACATTTTCAACTTCTCCAGAACCACTGGACCAATTTTAAGCAAACTCGGTATAAAGAATCCTTAGCTCAGAAATGATGGGCTAAATCTCCTTAAAACTTAAAAGGGAGGTAATTAAGAAAAAGATTGAATGATTGATATTGTTTAAAGCTTCATCAGCAATATTTCAGCCATAATTGAGCTATTATAAGTTAGGTTCTTATGATCTTTCTATGTTTGAAAGATTTTTGTGTTAAATCTCTGGTTGCCCCCACTAAACCTACTCTTTTTGAAAAACACAAAATGGATCTTAACTTTTGTTAAGGAAAAAAATGGGCTGGGTCATTATTAAATCTTCTTTATAAGAGGACGTATAAACCACGGGCCTATGTCGCAGTTGGTGCTGATACAAAAAAAAACCTCAATGCTCAATGGCTTTCAGTGCTGAGCATATAAGGACAAAATGTACAGCTCTCCACTGGCAGGTAGTGGCGTCTCCATATCAGTGAAAAATTCTCAAGAGGCTGTTTTAGAAAGTGCATCTTCACATAAATTTTAATGTGATGACTGAATTGATTTATGGTTGTTTGTTGGTTATTATTTTCAGGTTGGGAATAACAAAGAGAGATCAAGGAGGAGGATTTTTGAAGTGACTGACTGATATGGTCTGGGTCTTCTGAATGTTTCATCAGTTCTGCTTAATTAAACCCCAGTAGATTTTCTTCCTGAAAGTGAATGCCATTCACTCCCATATAGCAATTCTCAATTTTTGACTCATCACTGATGTTTATTTATCATTATATTATTTTAAATTTTTATACTGTATTATATTGTGATGAATAATTTAAGAATTACTTAATATATTTGTGTATGTAAATTGGCCAGATAAAACTTTTTTTTTCAGTTTGTATGCTGGTACAAGTAAGGAAATTAAAATTGAACGTAATGAAAAAAATAATTTTATAGCTTTCCAATTAAAAAAGAATAAATATTTTATATGAAGTAATGCTTATTTATATAAGAAATAACTGTCTATAATTATTTGGTTTTAGGATCATGATCTGATCAAGCAATTGGCTGGTATGAAAATTTTGCATAAATGTCAAAGGCATTGGTGGATAAATTAATCACACAAGCCCTCATGACCCCCCCCCCCCCCCCCCCCCCCCCCCCCGCAAAAAGGCTGTATTTGTTATATATACACTCTTGATTCCCCATTCAGAAATTCATGAGCTACAAACCCTACGTGCCATGTATGTCTGTGTCTCTGCACCTCCTTTTTACAAGTTCATCTTCCTCTTCAGAATTTCTGGGCTAAATTTCAACTGAACTTGGGTTCACAGAGTATCCTTGGGTAAGGGGATTCACGTCTCTTCAAATGAAGGACCGTTCAAATTATAACCCCCTCCTCTTTTTTAGGAGTAGGTAGGGACTTTTGCATTTAAGCTTTTCAATACCGGGGGTACTTAACTGATTTAAATTTTCCTACTCACAGTGCTCAGGTGAGCGATGTTGCCCCTGGGCCTCTTGTTACTATTTTAGTTTTATCTCGGATAAAGAAATTCAGAAATGTTAATATAATTGTTTAATACTTTCACAAAAGTGCTGCATTATTCACAGGTACTTGTGGACAGGACCCCCCCCCCCCCCCTCCTCCCCCGAAATTCAACCCCGGGGCTTATTGGACATTTTTTTCAAAAATTATATTTATTACACTTATTCATCATGTGTACAATATGAAAAAATCGTCAAAACCCCAAAACAATCGCTCCAGAAAAAAAATATACCCCACTATACATTATAAGGTATGTATAGTGGGGTAAATTTTTTTCTGGAGGGATTGTTTTGGGGTTTTGACGATTTTTTCATATTGTACACATGATGA